ACAGCTAATGCTGCTTTCGAAAAGAATAATGCAATTTCCTGCGCGTCATCGTTCCGCTCCTCCTGTTTTTGTCTGTTGTTCTTTATTGGCATTCCATTCCACCCCCCCCCCTCCCCCAATATATCAACAATTTGGAGCAGCGCTGCATGTGTCGATATGCATGTTACAGATAAAATTCAATGATGAAAAATGCATCATGTTTGAAACGAATGATGAGCCAACAATCGACGATATTGAGGACGCTGCAGCTGAAACAGAAAAAGATCTCTATTAAACTACATTGACGAAACGAAACAAACACTTAGTTTTACCATATTCAAAGATCGCAACAATATTTCAACAAAAAAGAAAGAATTGATGATTGGCGGTCGACGTTCTGTTGACAAATGAATGGTTTAAATTGAAAAGCTCTGTAACAGCCGTATCATCTTGGAAATTGAATGAGCCGATCATTGGAATGAAAAGGCGATTATTTCCCAGATCACCCAGAGAAAAGCAGATAGGAGATAGGAATTCTCGTAGGGATGCTCGAAAAGTAACGGTTTTGGGAAGCTTGCTTGTGATAGTCTGGCCACGCTCCTTTCAACCTAGTTCCACCCGTGATATACAGATGTCAAGGCCGTCCAAGAACTCGGCCGTCCACGGTTATCTGTTCAGTTGGTTGTTCTTGAAATCGGCCGCGACTTAGACATTTTTAAGGGCTACTTTAACTTCTTTTTCGACTGTAAGTCAATTAGCACCTACGAATTCATTTTTGTACCCTATTAACCACGTCTTGTAACTTTGAAATGTGTATCTAAGGCATACACATTATAGATAATGTCACAGTTGGCATAGCTGGTTTCCAAATAACCCCTTACTCTGTATTGGTTTATTCACAACAAGCTGGAACAATACCCACAACAATCTAGACCAAAACTTTTATAACAGTCGCTCTACTTAAATATCTACACTATTTCAATATTGGAAGGCGGGCTTCTTGTCGTATCCATACTCGGCATACCTGGAACGGGAGTCCATGAAAAAGAAGTGATAAGTCTTTAGATCAATCAACGGAACTTAGGAACGAGTTCGTCTGGGAACGGAAGAGAGAGATTACCATAAAATTTCACCAAGGGTTCGAATATTCTCCACCAACTCGTGAGATAAAACGATTTTTGGATTGGTGTCAAATGTTCATCAGCAAGAACAGGGCGCTGTTCGGCTTGGAGGGGCGTTTTGAAATTTTGCTAGTCCCTTTTTAGTGACTGAACAGCAGGAAGCTTCTGCGAAGATGCGAAATGGTGCGAATGAGTCATTTCGATCACAAGTTTACAGTTCATCACAAGATTGCTTGTATTATACAAATTTCACGGAGTGACATTTGTTGCCCCCACCAAGCCGTGCTGTGCCAGAACAGAGATTACGTATAACCTAGCCAGATGAAACGATCAGCTTGAGCGGCGGAGACATATCACCACGAGGAAAAAAATGAAAGGAAACCCCGACCCTAGGTCCTACCTCGCTACGAGTTCGAAGTTGCGAGGTTTTTGCTACGAAAAAGACTGGCAACTTTTAAAGCAAAAAATGGGGAAGCAAGGCAGGAACTGGGCAGAGATCTCCGCCCTTATTTCCCTTGCGTCCCAGGCGTGTAAGCTGCTGTGTTTATCTGCGTGAGCAGGTTTTATCCCTGTCCCTTCAATTTCGTTCGAAAAGATACCAAATAAAATTCGCTCCTAAATCCCACTGGAACAATCTAATAACATAACAATAAAGTTCGCTGAAGAATAAAACATACCATTTCTTCTCCCACCAAACGTCAGGCTGAGGAATGAAGAATTCTGGTTTATCGTAGCCTAGCTCTTCTGGAGTTGGGATTCCAAGCTCGGTGAGTACCGGCTTCACCTTTAAATGGAATCATACATGTAAAATAGGAAAGCTGAATAAACATTCGAAAAAGAAATTAAAATAAAGCAGGATTGGTATTCTATATCTGCCATTTCGTGCATGGGAGACCCTTGTGTCCATCGATTTCAACCTACAGCATGCTCGGGACGCAAAAAAGTGTTCACGTGGTATATGAACCACGTGGTGTAACCAACGAACAGAATTTGTTAAATTATCAAGGACAAGACTCGAGAGAAAGATATTCCCCATTTATCTGATTGGTGGGTCGTAGAAACAAAGAAGGACTGAGAGGGTGGGAAAGAAGCTCAGTGCGATTGTTAAGTGACCAAATAAGACGACAAACCTCGTTAACAATGTAGGAATAGATGACTTCTCTGTTCTTTTTTGATCCGCACTTGATCTTGATCGCTTCCAAGAATCTAACACACAAAGCGAGATCATTTACTCGACGACAGGCACGTAGAGCGGCTTCAACGACCTTTGGATCAGGGATGACATCATAGTCGTGAAGTTCAGTAAGAGCTAAAAACAAATAATACAAAAGTGCCCATGGACTGATTTTGTGTGCTGCTCAGGAATCGCAATGCGATAAACCAGGAGCTAGTTGAAAGGCAGGAAATGTAGTTGAGGGTAAGAATGGTATACAGGGTTACACGTAATTGGGGGAAGAGAGGGAGCCAGTGGAGCAGCGATTAGATGATCATGTAGGGGTTACGTCCTTCCTAAGCCTTGGAATAGAGAGAAACCAGTTTTCTATTCGGTGAGAGGATGCAGGGAAGCAGACATGACGTCGTATTCGTGCCGCCACCTTTCCCCAACTACCTCTGCCCCAAATTAAGTGGGATTAGTGTCGCTTGTGGCATTACTTTTACAAAATATTCATGGAATATGAAAAAAATGGAGTGAACTTTCATGTACTATCTTCCAACCCTTCCCCTCCCCTCCAAAGTGGAAGGTTAAAGAGCCAACCTTTACCTCAACAGAATCCGCAATGAACAAGCACTATAAAATGGCAATATCATAAGGTTATGGAAATAAAGAAACTGCACAGGAGAAAGAATAACTCAGAAAATCCAATTAAAGTCGAAGTTCTACCCACCTTTTCTTACTTCCCAGCCATCGATCTCCGGTCTGCTGAGGTAGTCAATAAAGTGCTTGTCGAACTCTAAAGAACAAATGGTCTCGCTATGTTTCTTCACAATAAAAATGATTTATGTTAGCAGGGCAGGTCATCGTTGTGATCATAATGGGGTGGGGTCGTATTGACCGCGAGGGGAGGGGAGAGTCGTATTTGGTCTGCAAAAACAATTTTTTTTTTGATATTTGATTTCTCTTGTTTCACGGACTCTATAAAACGAGGGGGTCGTATTTGGTCGTTGTTGGGAGAGGGACTGCCAAAGATCTATACAACTACTATTTCCGATAGTTGAAAATGATAGTTGAATCCTGACGACCTCCTCCCCAG